TTGAACCACCAGCCTTCTGGTTAGCAGTCAAGTGCCTTAGGCACTAAGCTAGCAGAGCTCCTCATCGCCTTATAGGGTAGATTTATTTTGTCCTACAGGGTCACTATAAGTCAGAATCAACTCTATAGCAACAGGTAGATGCTCACTGAATTTTAGCTACTTCACTATTTACCTATTTGGACCCTGGGACTTTTTGTATTAGGGAAAAATACAATTTTTTTCAGTGTTTCCAAACTTTTTTTCAGTGGTTTTCCAAGCTTTTTAAATCATTATTGAGACATATTAAATTATGCCTTTCTAAGACTCTTTTCTCTATACATTCTGTTCAGTGATCTGGGATAGGGCCTGACATTTTTATTTTTAATTTGTTTGCAATATGAATTTCATTTTAAAGAAAATTTTGGAAACAATTTATTTATTGAATCATTTAAATATCTATTCATTTATTATTTCATTATTCATTCAACAAATATTTATTGAGAATTTGCCAGGCACCATCTTACGTGGTGGGAGATACAGTGATACACCAAGTAGTCTTTACTCTTTGGAGCTTAGAAACCAAGTAGAAGAGCTAAACATTAGACAAATAGTCACACTGATACCTATGCAACTACAGTTGTAAAGTATGATATAAAGGAAAAATGGAAGGTGCTTGGAGATCACTTCATGGAGCTCTTCCCTATGCTGGGGGTAGAGAGAGGGTTGAAAGGGGAGGTTTATGAAGACTTTTCTGAGGAAGTGATTACTGAAGTCTCTTTCTGTTCTGAAATGGTGTATCTGTGATTCTATCAGCTTTCTACCCCAGCTACATCTTACCTGCCATGAAGAGAAGAAGGATCCTGGGCTGAGCAGGTTAGGGTTTTCTGGGTGGTGGCCTCCCATGTACTCATCTGTGCAAATGTCACAGTCGTCTGCATCCCGCCAGTCCCAGTATGGAATAGTGAAGTTCTCATCTCCTGTCAGCCTCTGGATTTCTTTTTCCCATAGCAGCAAAAAGAGTCTATGCCAAGGCAGAAAGCCTGGTGCTTCATGAGCAAAATCAATGTTGCTCCAGATTTCAGATCCCCCAAGCAGTGTGTCTCTGGACACATAATAGTGCATCCAGACAAAGAGATCATAAATGTTGATGTCACTAAACATTGGCCTTGATCCATTGTTCATTTGGCCATAGGTACCTGTGGGTATAACATAGTCTGGGCTGATAGTATGCTTTGCTAAAGTAAGGTAGGCAAGGAATTTGTCCTTCTCTGGGACACTCAAATCAAAGATGTTTCTTCTTACCAACAGTCGCCTCTCTGTGCAGTTTGGTCCCCAGAAGCCAAACCTGCAATTTCTGCAATCAAATCCCATGAAGTTGTCAGAGCACTGGCAAGTCCTATTATAAAAGACAGAGGGCCAAGACTCTCGGTCATCCACCCCTCTGAAGGGGTATTGAGGCCCAAGTGGTGCATTGGACAGAAGGATGTCCTGACAGGAACCCCTGCCCGAAAGGTGGCCACAGGGGCTCCCATCCCCACTCCATGGTGGGCAGCATTCCTTCTCCATCAAGTTCCTGGATGACACACAAGCTCGAGGGAAATAACCGGCAGAGGCGTGGAAACTCCACAGCAGGCAGTACAAAACAACCAGACACATTCTTCTGCAAGTCCTCACAATGTCTGTCTGAGCTGGTTAGTCGGAGCCACAGATTTCTCTTTCCAGCTACCCCTACGCTGACTATCATGTGTTTTGGCTAAGACCTATGTAATACTACTCCCAACTCCAGCGGCAAACACTCAGTCTTTCTCTTAAGCTTTCATCTTCTGAAAAGCATGTGACTAATTTGTCTTTGAATTTGGCATTTATCCCACCTGGACTATTTTAAAGTGAGAAATACAATTCACCACTCATAGTTTAATTCATGGGGTTATATTAATAATTATAGCAATAACAATAATAACAACATCTGATTTTGGTAAATTCAGTTAATGGACTAGCATGATTTGAATTTGCAAATGAGAACTAACGTCAGGAATAGATCTGCTCCGATTAAGAAAGGTCAGAAAATGTTACAGAATATAAGAATAAAGTGGTTGATTTTCAGAGACCATAAATAGACCACATTTGCAGAATTCAGCTTTGGAGAAAAAGTTTTTTTCAGAGCCCAGAGATTATTTCTTATATCTGATTATATTACAGCTTAATTATTTTCTATAAAGTATCAGGGTATAAAATTCTTTCTGATACTTTTTTCTGAGTGTCTTCGTATATTTGCCTATTTGCCAGCTCCCTAACTATTCATTTTCTGATTATTCCTAAGGGTAGGTCCTTTCAGTAGATGGGTGGTGCACTTTGTTGTTAGGACTTTTATTAGTTAGCATTATAAAAAGAACTTCTGTTTTTTTTTTTAAATCCATAGCCACTTTTTTCTACTCAAAAATGCTGCAAAATCAGGAATTTGCTTGAATCTTATATTTATAACATGCTTATTACACACACAGAAAAAAAAAATTAAAAAACCTCTTGTTGTTGAGGCAATTGTGACTCATGGTGACCCCTGTATGTGGAAGCAGAGAACTTCTCCACAGGGTGGTCAAGGCTATGGCCTTTCAGAAGCAGATAGCCAGGGCTTTCTTCTAAAGAACCACTGGGTGGATTCAAACTGCCAACCTTTGAGTTAGAAGTGGATTGCTTAATTTTTTACACTACCCAGGGACTTCTGTTTATTGCAAAGGAGTTCTTAATTTAGTTATATATGAATAAGTATTAATATATTTATTAAGCAAATATTTATTGATTAGTTACATCCTTCTGATAATTCTTTCTTGGTGTGTATAGTGAAACAGAGAAATTGAAATGCATGGATAAAAATATAATTTTGACTATTCATGCTAGTTTTCAAATAGTACAGGTAATAAATATATCAGGCTTTTAGTGGGAAGGGACATTTTTGTGAACTGAGGAAATTGAAAAGAATTGAATAATTTTGGATAATAGTATATACGTTTTACCAAGGGAATAAAGTAAAACTTTAAAGGGTGGGCATACGTTGAAAAGATGAATGAGAGTAGAGTCAACACTTCAAGCAGGGGATACTATTCAGGGGTGGGAATTGTGTTTCATCTGCTGAGTGGCAGCTTTGGATGGACCCCATACTATAGGAAATCAGACCTGAGAACCAGTCTGCAGAGAGCCTTGAAAACTATACTAAGAAGTTTGAGCTAAGATGATGGATCCTTTTTCAAGGTAAAGAGTGATTGGATGAAAGTAGTCAAATCCAGGTTGGTCCCCGAGACTCCCTTCCTTATCTTGCTCCATACTTAAACGTGGGTGATCTCCTGATGTTAAGAACCAAAAGAAAGAAAGAGTCCTGAAATAAACCTGTGTGGACCCTCAACAGCAGTGTTATAGGAAAAGTCATCATTATCCCAGTGACTCTGGGCTGTCAGCCTGCTCTGCTCTCTGCCCTTTCTGCTGGAGTTTGTCTTGTTATATACTTGTCGCCATACAACTGTCTTAAGACAGTTGCCTTTTCAGGTGGAAGGAGCAGTGTGTGGGTGAAAAGGACAAGAGAAGTTTCCATGGAAATATAGCCACTGGCCGGGATCAGGAAGCCATCACATGATCTCCACAAGGGGGTTTAATCTTTTTCCTTCATCCCTCTTTCAGAACCACAAAGAGATTAACACAAGGCTGCTTGTCTCTGGGGAGTCTTGGTTCTGTGTTACTTACAGCCACATGAAACCTCTAGTAATTCTGTTCACTTACTTTCAGGAAGAGCCCAACTTCTCCTGTCTAGTTGAATTAAGAATTTTGTTTTAGTCTTGGCCCTCCTCACTCTCCCTCAGACTTCCCAGTGCAACAACAAAGGAAACCTCCATTATACCACCAGGCTTGCTGCTTCTGCTCTCCCAACACTGTTTTCATCATCCTCAGAATCTGCATTGCCTAATGGTTAAAATCTACAATGTCCTCTTATTTTCTATCCCAAATGGATTTCCTTTAATTGACAGACATTTTTATTCCCTCACAAAATAAGCCATTTTCTCTTCTAGCCCATGTACGTAATAGTCTTGTTGCCAATACGTAGTTCCTAAACATCAAACTCTTTTTAGGTTGGCTCTTCCATGAACTCCAGATACGTGGTATTTTTATGCAAATAAACTAGTTTTCCTTCTACATTTGCCAACCTCACCCTCCTCTTCCCAGGTAATTTTGTAAGTGCTAGGCTTTTTTTGTTTTAAACAAGTGCTTATCTCTGTCTCCACATAGCACTCTATTCTCTATGTCTCTATGTCTTCACATGGCTTTCTAATAAGGACACCAGTCATTGGATTTAGGGCTCACCACAATCCAGTATGATCTCATCTTAACATGATTACATCTGCAAGGGGCATATTCACACATGCCAGGGGTTAGGACTTCAACATATCTTTTTCTGGGGGTACAATATAACCCACAATAGCATATATGAAGGGAGCAAGGATATAGGGGTTAAAAAAAGCTTAGTGGCAGCACCAATTACTTGTGAAGGGTCTAAAGAATATTTTCATACTGATATGCCCAAGATAGCATAGCGTGCCTGTGAAAATATCCAGAGTGGAAAGAGCATTTGGCAAACAAACACAGAAAGCTCACATTATTTGTGTACAAATATGGTACTTTCTCCAGCTGTCTGTTGGTTATATGATTTGAAAGTGTCCTACCCTGTCCTGGGAGATTATTTTCTGAATTAACACCCAAAATAAGCAGTACTCTATTAAATAGAATTATGGACTCATTGCATACTCTTCAAGAATTTATTGTGCATCGATTATCATGGAACACACTCAGAGGTGGTGATGTTAAAGTAAGAACAACAGAGAGACTTCCATCTTGATGGAGAATCTATTAAAATACATTTTAGTTATTCTTTATAATATCTACAGCTATGTGTCATTTCAGTTACTTTCCCCCCTTACTAAATGACTTTAATTTGCAGTAAAAGAAAATTAAAGAGCACTATTCAGGAAGATGGCAGAGGAACCTATGTAGTCTCCTGGGAAGGTCTTTTAGAGGAAGTGACATTATAGGTGAGATTTGAAGAATTGCAGAAGTCCAGTGAAAGGGAGAGCTTTCCAGGCAGAAGGAATGGCATAAGCAAGGGCTCTGAAGTAGGAAGCAGTATAGTATGTTTGAGAATTCTAAGGATAGTTAAGGTGCTATAGCCCAAAAAGCAAGGAAATGAGATATTCATGTGGAGATGTAGTAATGGGCCAGATAGCTGTCTGTGAGTTGTTCAAAGCAGTTTTAGTGTGATCATAAGTGCATTTAAAAGATTTCACTTGGGCTGTTGTGATGAGAACAGATGTGGGGTAAGGTGGAGATGGGAGTTAGAGTCAATGTAGAAATAATAGGAGATGATGAAAGTGATCCAAGCAAGAACTGATATGTCTTGGACCAGAGGGATGATCTCTAAGATGGATAGATGTGAATGGACTTGGGAGATACATAGGTGATGAATTCAAGAGGAGCTGATATGAGTTAGACATGGAAGATGAAGAGGAATGAGTTTTAGAGTTGACTCCTAAGATTCTGTCCTTATGCATTTATTTACTGATACTTTTGAAAAATTTAAATTTTCTTCATCAACTAGTTGTTTACTCTGAAATACAGTCTGTGTAAGGAAGCTGGTGCAAATACTTAATTCTTGTCCTTTTATCAGTTTTCATAATAATTTTTGGTGTCTTTGTAACCTCCAAACATAGCTAAGATATTTAGTGTGTTTAACTAAACTGACTCACCGCTGTAGAGTCAGTTCTGCAATGTATGTCTACATTGTGTTAGGCATGTAGTATATAATTGTCCTAATACAATCTTAAAAATGAGCCAGCAAACTTAATGTATTTCTCTATTGTTAAGAGGACTGATGTTAATGATTAAGGTTAAATGTCCAGTAAATTGCACAGGCAAAATTTCAACCTTGACCTGTCTGTATAATTCAAATCCCAAAGATATCTCATTTCATTGTGTTATCATTCATGCTGCTGTTAATTCTACTTGCTGGTTGTGCTTTACATTATGAATCCTTCTTCTATCTCCTTCTTGACTTCATACTTTGCCTGAGCCATAACTCCCAAATGTTCTGAAAATTAGCTTTGGGTAGTTGCTATATTCCTGATAAGCTTCTAGACTGTAAATAAGCTTTAGATACCCATTACCCCAATTTGAAAGTGGTCTTTCATGATAGATTACCTTACTCAACCAATAACATCCCTTCAACACTGATCCTCATAGGCTGTTGAAGTGCTAAGTAAACTTGGGTCCACATAGTGCTGAATAACTTGCTTAGTTGAACAATTGATAAATTTTCCAACAGACAGAGGGTATTAATCTTCAGGGAGCTCATTTCCTGATGGTGCACAATTCTTCATGTAGATCTAGTTCTGCTATCCCATGATGCAAATCCCATTTGTAATTAAATATTAGATATTTGTAATTAAATATTATTGTAATTAGATATCAGACATTAGTTAAGTAACATTACCAAAGAACAAAATATGCATTATAAGAACAGAAAGTAAAATTGAAGATACATGTTGTTGTTATGTGCCCTCAAGTTTGCCCCAACTCATAACGACCCCTCCGTGGGTTTCTGAGACAGTATCACTATGGAAGTAGATTGCCCAACCTTCCTTCCGAGGAGTGGCTGGTGGGTTTGAACCACCAGCCTTCTGGTTAGCAGTCAAGTGCCTTAG